ATGCCCGGACAGTTGCCCAGACAGGTGCTGGGACAGTTGCCTGGACAGGTGCTGGGACAGATGCTCGGACAGTTGCCCAGACAGGTGCTGGGACAGGTGCTGGGCATAGGCACGGTGTGCTGAGCTCCTGTGGTGGGCCCAGACAGGTGCTGGGACAGGTGCTGGGCGTAGGCACGGTGTGCTGAGCTCCTATGGTGGGCCCGGACAGGTGCTGGGACAGATGCTCGGACAGTTGCCCAGACAGGTGCTGGGACAGGTGCTGGGCGTAGGCACGGTGTGCTGAGCTCCTGTGGTGGGCCCGGACAGGTGCTGGGACAGGTGCTGGGCGTAGGCACAGCGTGCTGAGCTCCTGTGGTGGGCCCGGACAGGTGCTGGGACAGATGCCCGGACAGTTGCCCAGACAGGTGCCGGGGACAGTTGCCTGGACAGGTGCTGGGACAGATGCTCGGACAGTTGCCCAGACAGGTACTGGGACAGGTGCTGGGTGTAGGCACGGTGTGCTGAGCTCCTTTGGTGGGTCCAGACAGGTGCTGGGACAGGTGCTGGGCGTAGGCACGGCGTGCACTGAGGGCTCTTGACTGCTGCAGGAGAGCTGGAAGAGGAGGGCGGCGGCCTGGTTCCCATACTGGATTCCAGCTGTGGGCGACGAGGCCTCCATCCTGCTGTGGAAGCTGCCTGGTTATGGGTAGGCCCTGCCTGAGACCAGATGGGTCCCGAGAGCACGGGGCTGCGGCGGGCCAAGGTTCCGCTCAAGACACTGACTGGGATCCGCCCCCACACCCGAGCGAGTGTGTGGCGAGGACAGCAGTGCTGGCTGTGGTGGAGCTGACTGTGTCTGGAAGAGATCTGAGCAAGTGCTCCCAGCCCCACCTGGACAGGCAGACCTCAGCAGGCATCTCTGGTCACGGGTGCTGCAGCCTCCTGCCCAGCCCCGGGATGAGGTAGTAGGCAGTGGCGGTCCCGGCACCGAGCCAGCCGGCCTTGCTGCAGGAGCTTGCTCGGGCTTGACTGTTTCAGCTTGAGGAGAGTCTTTACGGGCCAGCCCTTCCTCTTGGCCCAGTTGGGGGCTGTGGGGGAGCCCCTCTCTGGCCGTCAGTGGGATAGCTGGCCCCAGGGCCTCCCCCTTGCTCTGTGTCCGAGGACAGGTGCTCCCATCTCTGGCAGCTGCTGCAGTGGCTCAGTCGCCCCCGCAGTGGGGTTAGCCCGTATTGTGGGCGGCCGGCAGAGCCTGGGACTGGGGTGACACAGAGCACTGCTGTCGTGGGCTGTGGGCTGCTTGTCTCTGTCTTTGACATGAAGAAGGCCTCCTGCCCTCCTCACAGGGATCGGGTGAGTTTCCTGGTGCTGCCAAGGCTGGGGGTGCTGAGTGAGCTGGTGGCTGTGCTGGGCACTGGGTAATGAACGGGATGATGGAGGAGGTGGCGAAGTCAGAGGCACAACCCGTGGTCCTCTCCTCTGCAAAAGGCCTGGGCCGCAGGAGGGCTCGTTGCAGCCTGCCGGGCAGTGAGTGGCTGATGGACAGTGACAGCGACGGGGGTGACCTCGCTGGTGTGGGAGAAGAGGAGGTGCTCCCGGGGGAGGTGGTGGGATGGCTTCATATTTTCTTCTACCTCCTGCTGTCCCAGCCTATGTCCAAGGCCTCTGGCCCCTGCTGTGTGTCCCGGATGTGCCGCAGGCACACGCTCTGCTTCGGGATGGAGGGTGAGTCAGGCCCCCAGGACCCCATGTTGGCATGCCTGCTAGCCTGCCAGGGCCCTCCTGGGACGTGCCTGCAGCCCCAAGTGGCCTCTCCACCACTGCCTGTGCTTTACTCCTCTCCACGCTCATCAAGGACGAGCCTTTATTTCCTGTGAACAGGAGTCCCTTTGCCCTTGCCTTGGCAGGAGATGTGGGCCTGGATTGTTACCCTGCAGAAGACTGCGCGGCCCGGCCTCGGGGGCGGGTGCAGAGAGGCTGGGGAGGGGGCACTTGAGGGCACTCTCAGTGTTCTTGTCCTCGGTCAGTCCCCACTGTGCCACTTGAACTCCCTCCCCCGTGTCGGGCTCTGCACCTGAGAGGGTGGAGCCGCGTGTGGACGATGGGAGGCGTTGGAGGGGGGAGGGAGGGGTCTAGGGGAGTGTGAGAGTGTTTTGTGAGACCTCCTTCTCTGACCCAGGTGGGCTCTGAGGGGCGTGTCTCTAATAGCATACCTCATCTTTGACTTTGAAACAGGGTCCCTAAAGTGTATTAAGAAAAAAAGCCAGCAGAAGCCAGCACACACTGCCCCTTCTCTACACCAGCCCCATGCCGGGTTGTGGCTTCTCCTCTGGGCCTGGGGAGGTGTCTAGGCACGTGGCGTCGTCTGTGGGTTGTGAAGTCCGGCAGCCTGCAGGCCCTGCCTGCGTGTGGGCTGGGTCGTGCAGCCCTGCGGTCTGAGGCAAAGGGGTAGAGAGGTCCTTGCAGATCCTGACAGTCGTGGGAAGGCTGAGGTCAAGAGGGGACGGCTCCCTTGGAACTGAGCTCGAACAAACCTGCCCGGCCCTGTCTTTCCCAGCTCTGGGGTCTTTGGTGAGTGCCAGAGCCTTATTATTTTCTTTCTTTATTGACATAGTAGTCATATATCAAAGTTTGTCATTTCACCCTTTTAAAGTCTTCAACTTGGTGATGCTAGTTCATTCCCAGTGCCGCGTAGCCACCGCCACCATCTCAATTTCAGAGCGTTTCCGTCTCCCAAAAGGGTGCCCCAGCCCTAGGCAGTCACCCCACCCTCAGCTCCTCCAGCCCTGGCAGCTCTAGGCTGCGGTCTGCCTGTGGCTTTGCCTGTTCTGGACGTTTCCTGTGAGTGGAGCCATGCCCCATGTGCTTCTGTCTGCTCTGTAACCCTTGGAGCCTCCGCTTCCTCCTCGACAAAGTAGGGCTACCGCCATCACGAGGAAATACGGGACATGCCTCGGCCAGGGCTGGTGCATAGGAGGTCCCGGCAAACCTCACTTCTCTTATGTGGCCCTGTGTTCCTTCTGGACTGGTGCTCGCCTGCCTCTGTCTTCCAAGGCCTGAGCACCACCACTGCGCCCCAGCCTTCGTGGATGCCTCCTTCCTGATGCCATCTGCCTTCCTGGAGCATGGAGCCCCGACCCTGGCCACAAACCCAGCCCTGTACTGGCCAGTCTGGCCCCCACCCTTCCCCAGAATGAGCTGGTTGACTCCCCAGCTCTCCGGCTACATCATCAGCCCCTGTTGGGAAGCGCCTCTAGCCCTCTCAGTCCTCTGCGGAGTTGCCCGCGTGGTGCAGGACTGTTGCCGTATGTGTTAGAGACACCCTCGGCACAGCTGTCCAGAGGAGGGCTGGTCACAGAGGAGGACGGCGCTGCGGGGCAGGGCCGCTGCTCTCGGCTGGTGAGGGCCCAGTCTCAGCAGGTGTGGGGAGTGAGCCTTGCCTTTGACGTGCCCATCTGCCACCTGCCTTTCCCACAGACCTCCCTCAGGAGTGGTTGTCCAGGTGGGCAGGAGCTGCCCTGTGCTTCCCCGGCTGCCTCATGGCTGCTGGCACAAAGCCTGGCTGTCAGCTTTGCCGGCACTGGCAACTGGGGTTCAGACATGTCCTCTCCACGAGGCCCTCAGAGGTGACCCTGTCTCCCTGGGGTGAACCTTACCAGTGCTTGACTCCGGTTTCTCAGCACCCTGTGGGAGCCAAACAGCATTTGCTCTGGCCACTGTGAGCGGCCCCTCTCGGCTGTGGCGCCCTGGCCCACACCCCCTGCTTCCCCACCCCGGCTTCCCCTGCCTCATCCACGGTATCGGTCCACGGGCCTGTGATTCTCCCTGGCCTGCAGAGACCTATCTCCGTGGTCGCCTGGGCCAGTGTAACTAGAGCCGTCACATATCACGTGGCTGCCAGGCCTAGTCAACGGTGACTTCACTTTGAGCCACATCTGATTCTCTCCCTCGGCATGGGCTAGCCCAGGACCAGCTGGGGAAGCGATCGTCAGCCTCGTCAGTCACACACTAAGGTTTTGGGGTACTCCATTTCTCCTTGAGGACCCCCAGCGGTGTTCTGTGGGTTTTGAAGCACCATCATGCATGTGCAGAGGCCCAGAGCGGGGATGGCCTCCCAGGGCTTCAAACTGCTGTCCCACTACTTCTCTCCTCACGTCTGTCCATCACCAAATGAGTGGGCAAGAAGGGTGCTGCCAGGGTAGAGGTGGGCTGGCCACTTGTGCCCTGCCCAGGTCACGCTAGCAGAATCTGGCAGCAGCTCACGTGCAGGGTAGCAGGGTCAAGGCATCTCACCGCAGGGTCGGTGTATGGTGGCTCCTAGAGGACAGATGGAGGGCCGGCCCTGGGCTGTTCTTCTCTTCCCTGGGGCCACTGCATGTGGACTCGGGCACACACCATGCCCTGTCTGCAGCCGTGGGACGGGGTTAGCATTGCATGTGGGGCACCCAGCTCATCTCAAGCCAAGTCAGGCTGCACACTGTCTTGATTGGGCTTTTTCCTGCCTGAACCTGAGCCAGGTCCTCATCCTTCAGCTCCGGCAACTGGGCAACTGCCTGGCCAGCGCCATGCCTGGTGGCAGCAGAGCCTGGCAGCCCGTCAGCTTGCCCGGTGGTCCAGGCAGCCAGGCAGGCTCGGGGTGGGTATTGGGTGTCCAGGGGGTCTCCGTGCTGACTGTAGAATGGCTGTGTGGGTGCCCTCCTCAAGCTCCTGCCCTGGGGACCCCTCCTGCTGGGCTGCATTGCCTTGGGACTTGGTTCAGTGAAGAGCAGCTGGGGCCCCAGACCCTCGTAATCCCCCATCACGGCCGAGTGTTCGTCAGAGGCCTTCGTCTGCAGTGGGCAGGTAAGTGGGGCCTGCAGTGAGATGTGGGGGACGCAGCCCTGGAGGGGAGCATGCCTGCCTTCTTTTGGCGGTTTTAGGGTGTCCCGTTATCCCTGTTCACAGCAGAGCTGGAGGGTGGGGACGGGGACGGCAGAGAGGTCCCGATAAGCGCTGCTGACGTTTTGTCGTGTTTTATGGAGTGTTATTGAAGTTGCTCAGATGGTGTGAAGATGGAATCTGGGAAATGAATTTTTCCTCCTTCTCCTGGGAAGGGGTGTTGGGGGCAGGACTGTTGGGGTCTTGGGGACAGGAATGAGGGGGGCCCTCTCTGGACCTCCCTTAGGTCCCCGGCCAGAGTCACGGGATTGTTACTAACGGCCTGTGAAGCCAGGGTCTTCAGCTGGGTGGCCGTCCCTCTGAGGGTTCCCGGAGCCAACAAACCTGTGCTCCAGCAGCAGCCTTGGGATATGTCGGAATGGGCGCTTCCTGAGACCGGGAGGTGACGTCCTGCCTGTAGTGACGAGCTGGCCCAGTGGGGGCTGGAAGCGGCAGGATGCCTGTGCTGTGGTTGGCGGGACACGGTGTCACAGGAGCGCAGTGGTGGTGTGGGAGGAGGCAGCCCCTGCCTCGTGACCGTGGACCCCCAGCGGTAGCAGAGGCAGTGCTTGGGGGAGGCCCCGCAGCCTGCCTGGTGACAGGACAGCACTCCCCGCGGCTCCGTCAGTCTTGAGGTTACGCTGTGACTCAACAGGTGTCTCCAGAAAGCACGGTTGCGCTGAGTCCTGGCCTAGAAATGCAGAGCTCACAGTGGGCAGCCCGGCCTGCGTGCGGAGGAAAGCTCCCTGGCCTGGGTGTGCGGTGCAGAGGGCGGAAGCTCGTCTGGCAGGCCCTGAGTGCCATGGCTGACCTCTGGCCAGGAGGGTGATGGTCAAAGCTAGGTTACCTGGCCAGGCTGGGGAGGTCGGACTGGGAGGTGCTGGGCGGAGGCGGAGGCGGAGGCGGAGGAAGGGTGCTCTGGCTTTGCGCTTCTGTCTTACCCCCATTTGGAACCTGGACATGACTTCTTCGAAGTTTAATTCACACACAATGCTACATGTCCATTTAAAGGCACAGTTCACTGCACCGTTTGGACAAAACACACCCCACCTGACTCCCACCCCCAAGGGAGGTAAAGAACATTCCACTGTGACCTCAGAAGGGTTCCTCCTGGCCCTTTTCTGGTCAACCAGCCCCAAGCTCCAGCCAGACCCCGCTCCGCCCAGCTACACTAGCCGCAGCCAGACCAGCTCAACCCAGCCAAACCAGAGCCAGCTCAGCACCAAGCCATTCCAAGCCCTCAGCCCAGCTCCAGCCAGCAGCCGCCAGCCAGCCAGACTTCAGCCATCCACCACCACCACCTCCAGCCTCCAAGCCAGCCGGCTCAGCCCAGCAGCCTAGTCAAGCCAGCCCCTACCTGCCACCTTCCCATTTCGGCTTGCTTTGCCCTCAAAGATCAGGTATCTCTGTCTCACAGTTGCGGAGCCAGGTAGCATGTACTCTTCCGCCTTCCTCAGCCCAGTGTGTGCTGCGGGAATGGGTGGTGCACCCCTCTTTATTGCTGGGCGACCGGCATGCCTTTGGACATGCCACAACCTGTGTTTCCACCTATCGGTGGATGCTTTCGTGTTCTCCGGCTTTTGACTGTAAAGTGAAAGGGGCTGTGAGCATTTCTGTAGGATCTTTGTATGGACAAATGTTTGCATTGTGTTGTGGGGGGATTATTACGTACAAGTTGAATTGCTGGCTGTAGGGCTGGTGTGACTTTTAAAGATATACCCAAGCTGTTTTCCAAGGTGGCTGTGCTGTTTTAATTCCCCCGAGCAGCAGGAGAGAGCTGGATCTATATGTCTCTGCTCATGCTAATACCACAGCAGTGGATCTGTATGTCTCTGCTCATGCCAGTACCACACTGTCTTGATTACTATCACTGTAAAATACATCCTGAAGTGAGCTGGGAAGAGTCCCTCCTCTACTGTCTTCTGAAAGAATTTGTGTAGAGTTGGTCTTACTCTTCCTGCGAATATGGGATAGAATTCGCCAGTGACCCTGTCTGAGCTTGGAGTTTTTGTTGTGGGAAGATTTTCAGCTACAAGTTCACTTCCTTTAATGCTGCAGTTCTGTCCACGCTATTTCTTCTCAAGTGAGCTTTGATTGTTTTGTATTTTTCAAGGAACTCATCCTCTAAGTTGAGAAATTAATTAGCAGTAAGCTACTCATAATATACCCTTAATATCCTTTCGATGTCTGTAGGATCTGTGGTGGTATCTCCTCCTTCATTTCTAATGTTGCTGATTTATATTCAATCTTTTGTTCTTGATTAGTCTGAATAATTTTATCATCTCAGTATTATTCACATGTAAATCGATTGATTTTATTAATCATTTGAAAGATCCAGATTTTTTTATCTTTAGGTTTCTCTATTGATTTGATGTTGATTGAATTGGTTTCTGCTCACCTTTATTATTTCTTTCTCCTGCTTACTTTGAGTTAATGCTTTTGTTGGATTGTTGACTTGAGATCTTTCTCTTTTTTTCTAAGTATCTATTGCTATACATTTCCCTCTATGCATTGCTTTACCGATACACATTTTAATACCTTGTGTTTTTATTTCATTCAGTTATTTTCTAACTTCTCTTTGATTTCTTCTGTTACACATGATGATTTAGAAGTGTGTTGTTTAATTTCAGATGATTATGTTCATTCACAGATAC